TAATAATTCTTTAGTATATTACTTGTGTGGCGTAGAAGATAATTATCTATGAATGTAATTATGTAAAATGTTAACACTGTAATAATTCTGTAGTATATTACTTGTGTGGTGTAGAGGATAATTATTTATGTAGAGATATTGCTTAGGACTTAAAAGTTGTAAGATGATGTCATGGGGTAGGACTAGATAAGTCTAACTTCTTCCTACTCCGTTCAAGCATGTACTAGGTATAAGTAAATTGATATTGGATTATTATTGTTGGATATGTGTGAAATTACATGTGTTGACATATCAACTGTTTTACATGCTTGAATGAATAAATCAAATCAAAAATCAATCAATAGGTCAGGGAAAATTCTAAATAGCTTTGAGTTATTAATTGGAATTAGTGCAGAAAATTTCAACCAGTGTGGAGAGATTGAGTTGTTAGCCAAGCTGCAATGCTAGCTTACATGTGCAATGTCACACATCAACTACCTAAAAGTGTTTCAAAACCTTAAAATGTACTGTTTGTAGAAGCCCATCGCTTTTAGCAGGTTTTCTTGTGTGCGGTTGTTCCTTGGACAGTATTTAAGTTAGGATCAGTACTTAGCTCCAACCTCATGGAATGTGATTGGGTTGAACAATGGCAACAATAAAAATATCGCTGTCCTTTTTTTATTCAACCAATTGTTGCAGGTTAAACAGAAAACTCTCTTGTGAGTGTCCTTTCTGGTGTCTCACCTCTAAAACGTTTTGGATTCTGCTGTCAATTAAAATGAGACTATGTAACCTTTATTAACAGGGGCCACTGTGGCCACAACTGTGACAAATTTGTGAGAACATAGTGCAGTGGTGCTGTTTTCTCATGTGGGCTCACTTGGATTTCACACGAACTTTGTATTAGGGAGCTGGCAGAGTAAAGTCCACTTATTGTCCAGTTCAGCTGACTCAGACATTTACATTCTCACATACAGCTTCTCCTGGTGATGTTTAGATCAGGGTTCCAGTGCATGTCTGAAAGTTTCTTATACAGCTTTACCTAAGCAGTGCTTATCATCATATCATGAGTTGCCATAAGCTACTGTCATAACAGGCCAAGTGGCAAAACCACAAGTGTGCATGACCAGTCTTTTTTTATTACCTTCAACTTCTCATTTGTAAAAGGAAGAAAATTTCTTTATTCAGAAGTTGCATAGTTTAATAGCTTAATTGTTGATAAGATTT